GGTCGTTTAAATGGTGTTATAAGCACAGTAACTAAAAATTATGGTTATTTGGTTATCACATGCTAAAGCTGTTTGTATTTTTATAGGGGACGGAAGTAAAGCTAAAACTGTACTTGTGAAAAACAAAGTAAGTCGTAAAAAATAGAAAAGCGGAGGTAGCATTAGTAAAATATAAACAAATTAGGTAATGAGAACTTGAAAATCACGTGTAAAGCTCTTTAAGTTCTCTTAAATTTAAGTCATTACCCCCTCCCCTCGCCTCTTCCACCGACTACTGCTCTCTCTCTCTCTTCGAAGGATTTGAAAATCACTACCTGGCGATATTTTGTTGTTGCTGTAACTGACATTGACATCCCTTTCCATCTGGACTAAAATGGGGAGCAGGAATTGTAATATGTAGTGAATGGGGCTAGTGTAATATTTACCACATCATCCTTCAAGTACCAGTACAACTACTATCACGAACACCACCACAGTAGCTAAAATAATGTCACTGCTATCTGTGTTACCATCGGAGTAGACAGAGAGTCGTGAGCCAGAAGATTTGGTTCCGCATGGCTAGTGCTGTCGCCACAGACTGGTCGGGTTAGAATGTATAATTTCACTTCCCGACAGAATAACGCCATAACCTTACCGGCGGTCTTCACATGAGAGCACTACGGTGTAACAGCCCAACTACAACTATTACTGCGGCTGCTACTTTAAGTGGGTAAAGCAGTTACTGTGACCTAAAGCTCTCTCAGTTAATAGTTTGCCCCCCCCCCCCCACCCCCTAAATTCACCGACAACTCTTTCCCTCATTGAAGTAGTTGGGAGAGAAAAAAAACACTTGAAAAGCAAATCTTCTTCTTCTTGTGTCAAAATCTGCTTGTGCCGCTAGGCGTCGCAGTCTATCAGATGATCGGCAACCGAGCCAGGGCGCGCTCAGTCGCTTCATATGCCGTGATGTTATGAAGTCTCAAGTTGTCCGTGACTCCTTCAATCCATCTTCTTCTTGGTCTTCCCCTGCCTCTTGTTGTTTCGATTTTCATGTTGTATGCTCTTGATGCTGGCATCGTTGGTTCCATTCTCATTAGGTGACCAAACCATTTCATTCTTTGCTTCTCAATAAATTTAACGATGGGTATGGTTCCAATAGTTCTTGTAATCACATCGTTTCTCACTCGATCTCTTCTGGTTTTATTCGCAGCCATTCTCAAACATCTCATTTCACAGGTGGTTAGTCTTCTCTCGTGTTCTTTTGTTAATATCCAAGTCTGACATTGATAACCTAATGTCGGTATAAAGATTGTATTTATAATTTGTCTTTTTATCTCAGCTGGGACAGCAGGGTGTTTTAAAATTGGGGCAAGCTGGTATGCGACATTGTTGGCTTGTTGGATTCTTGCTTCGATCTCTCTGTCTATTTTACCATTGGATGTAAAGATACTTCCCAGGTATTTAAATTCTTGCACTTGTTTTAGGCTGTGATCTAGAATCTTTATGTCGATGGTCTGTTGCTCTCTACTTATGCTCATGACTTCTGTCTTTTCAGTATTGATCTTCATATGATGCTTGAGGCAACTGTCAAAAAAAGCAAATGAACACAGGAAAAAAACACACACACCATAATTAGGAAATGAACGCCATGGTAAACAGCACAGCTTAAAATTCCAACGCAGATGAAATAACTAAATCTAAATTAAAATAAATGGAAATCTATGAAATTTCAGCGTAATCATGCAATCGGAAAATTTAAAAATGCAATCATAAGTATGCGAAATGGTCAAATTTAATTATCAAATGGTTTACCCATTTACTTGTCTTTTTTTTTTTTTAAGTATTAAGGCAACATGGCTAGTCAACCACGACAGAGCAGATGAGGATATTATTTTAGTCCGGGGTAAAAAAAAAAATTTACTACTGCGGATTCGAACCCTGGTCTCCCGGACAGGAACCAAGTTTTCTAACCATTCGACCAAGCAGCCACTTAATCGGATCAACGAAAAGAGAACTTAACTATTAGAGATGTGTGTCCCTACTACTGTGTCCAGATTATAACACAACTCAAAACCGCAGGCAATTGTTTTCTCATAGACAGATACTCCAGATATATTAATGAAACGGCACAACAATAAAAATCGCACTTGTCTAACACAGTTAATGAAGGTAATGTCGCAGTCAATGTATGCTCCGACGTCGAGATAGTCCTTGATGCTCCCCCCCCCCCCCCCCTTTTTTTCGAAGGTTGTTTGAAAAAAAAACCGAAAATAGAAATCGTGTTTAATATGGTTATTGTGGCAAATATAGAGATAGTCTTGTTTGCTGTACCACGACCTACTCTATGTTTTAGAGAAGGCTTTGGCTGCATGTAACTCGCCGGCGAATGGTGGAAGCCTTGCGTTCTGACTACGTCGCATGCGCAATTACTAACGTGGCTATAATTAGAAATCACTACAATTATAAATATTAGTTTCGAATATTATGGCTTAAATTGTGGTCACCTATCTCTAACAGTGACAGATTGAATTTCAAACCATGATGGTTCAAAATCCGGTATCAAAACAAAGATATCCTGCAAATTTCAGCTAAATCGGTTCAGTAGTTTCCGAGTCTATAAGGGGCAAACAAACACACAAACATTGATTTATATATATATATAGAAGAACATCTTAGGCAATATATCTTTGTCATTGAGAGTTAGAAAAGGATTCTTGCTTGCTACATACATCCAGTTTTAACATATGCTAATGGGAATTTCATGAGTGCTGTGATGGCGGTCCGTAACTCATAACTCATATTTCACAGACACCGAAAGGTACAAGAGAACCATCTGGTCGGGTAAAAGAAAAATAGAACCTAAAAGTCAGGAAATGTCAGATCTCTCGCTACGGACCATCCTTCTTGATAACCTACTCTTAGCTTTACAGATATACGCTTCTAGGATCTGTATCCACATCAGCAGGCTTGACCAAATCTCTAGGCAAGAAAACTTGGCTTAACTGGACATATGCTTCTAAAAGAAAGACACGAAGAGACAGACAGAGAAGTTGCTTCTAGACAGATTACCATCATGGCATAAAGCAAAATATGCATCAGAACAGGACAGCTACGTCAAGAATGACTGTGGAGATAACTGCTACTTCCAGAGCTCTTGCAAAGGCAGTAGAACCACCGGTGTTTAAGTGTGAGGAAGAACCTGCTAAGAAAATATCATAAATGGTCAAACTATGGGGGTGACTGCAGTCAAGCTAATACAATAATATATTGCCAACCATATTCTATTTCTTATCAGTATCATTTATGTATCATTAACACTTGCATTTCTTTTATTCCCAGTATTGTGACTATATTTTTTAACCATCGTTTATTTTATTTTATTTTATTTCATTTATTCTGCATCACATTTTTTAAATGTCGCTCACGTCACATCTTAGAGATCTACATACTCTCTATTCCTCGTTTGTGTATTTCACTTGTGTTTGAAAAAGGCTGCCTGGCCGAAACGTTACGTTGTGTTGTTTTGTGCACGTTTTCTTCTTTCCTATTTTGTTGAGCTTTTTAGTCAAATTTCTTTGGAATTCATTAAGAAAATATCAACATGTAGTCTATGCTGTGAATGGGAAGAAAGCATTCAGAAGTTGCATTTAACGTCCATCAACTGTATCTACAGACATGAGCAAGCTTAACTGAATTGTAAATAACGAGGTTACCAGCTAGAAGATATTGCACCAATGCACATCGGAAGAAGCATGGACAGAACTGATATAATCAATGTACTGACTAGGCTGGCGGACAATGGTGAATCTCTTAATGCTAATATGATTACGTAGTCTGCGAATAAAACCTGGTAAAGCACGTCTAAGCTGGCTGCAGGGCCAAGGCAGGAGACACTGTAACCAACTTCTCATTGGAACAATCATGCGAATGCCCTAGGTGCCATTTTTTACAGACAAACGACGAGAATACCCTGGACAGATAAAAAGAATAATGAAGATGTCTTGAAAGAAATTGACTTACTAAGAGAACTGATTGCCTACGTCAGAAAGAGACAATTTACGTTCTTTGGTCATGTCATGAAAAGGAAAATACTGGAGTACTTCGTGACGGTTGTAAATTTGGAAGGAAAAGCGACAGAAAAAGAACGAGAGAGCAGATGCTGGTCAGTTTGGCCTCAAAGCAAAAAAAAAAAAAAGACAGTCTGTGCCAGAGCTGATTAAAACACACGAGGCAGAGGGTTGTAGATAAATTGGACTCCCTCCGAATATATTGATATTGCATCAACCGACGCACCATTGTTACCTTTTATGAGCTCATGTTTGAACGATTTAATCCTCATCATATAGCATGCCCTGTTCCTTCTAATTCTGGATCATTCATGCTTTTCACTCCTCTTGTTTGAGGAAGTTGCAGATCCGATCTACGCCCCCCCCCCCCCACGCCTCCCTCCCCCACCTCTTTAACCTGAACCCAGAGTTATTTCAGTGGAACCTCAGTAAACATTCGCTTTGATATATATTTAGGTTGCGTTAAGTTCTGTTTAGACGCCAAAAATCTGGCAGGGTACGCAACCTTTCTTTGGAATATGAATTTTATTTTACTTTGGCTTAAATGTGATGACCCCTAGTTTTCTCATTATCATCATCGTGAAGTAGGTTCTTTGCAGAATGTTTGCTCGAGACAGATACATACATCCTTTGCCCATCCTAGTAAAAGTCAATCTACATTCTTTGGTCATGTGATAAGAAGGATGAAGTGGAGAACACTGTGACAGTGTGAACGTTGGAGGGGAGGAGAAGCAAATAGAGACGGAGAGAAAAGATGCTAGACACTTGGACATCATGGCATGGAGGATTATCTGTATCAGAGCTGATTGACAGTATACGAGTCAGAAGGTTGTGGATAGACATGGCTACCAACGTCATGCGGGATGGACTTTGAGCAGAAGAAATACCACATTGTTTATTTCTTTCACATTACTTGATTTTGATGAGCTTGCCCCTGTAAACTGAAAAAAAAAATTAACAAAGCTTGGACTTACGTGACTGGCTCTCGGATTTGTGGGACTGGGCGCTTCCTGCTCGGAACCTGGACGACTTCCTTAGATGGTAGATAACAACACATGTGGAGATAACGATGATGACGAAGCAGACGACTGGCAAGATGATCCCAGAAAGGTTATAGAAGAGAAATACCGGCTGTTTGTAATGGTAAAAGAATTCACTGTTAACGTAGATGGCAATTGTTCGATTATAGTGATTGCTATACACCCACGCAATATCAAAGACGCAAAACATGACAGAAAACCACCCGAATACGACGAAAGAAATGACAACGCAGATAATGAAGGAGCTTTTACGTGTAATCAGCCATTTTATTTTGAATGGTATACTGACACACAAGGATCTCTCCACAGCCACGTAAGCCGCTAGAACGATCGAAACATACGTGGCGAAGCAGGTGTAGTAGGTAAACACAACCATTGATATATTTGCCCAGCTCTCAGCTTTAGCCTGGTCCCACAAACTGACGGGACCTGAAAGTCTTTGTAGGGCAAACCCTGAACACTTAACCAAGTCCCAAATAGAGATGGCTGTCATGGAAACGGCAACGCTGTCCTTGAACTTCTGCTTCGCGAAGACTATGATTGTCAAAATGTTGGTGATGGTGCCAAGTAAGGCCAAGAGAAAACAGACGGTTAGGTCAATGCAGATTTCTACCAGTCTCCTAGCTAAGGTAGTGACGTAAATATCCTCAGGGATAAACTCTTCTATATGTTTGTCATCATTTGCTGTGTTGTAACCTTGGTAAGGAACTGAGTTGTTTGAACATATTATAAGACTAGACATTCTTTTCTCTTTAGAGAGAGAGAGTTGTTTCAAGGTTTGATAATCCACCTTGGACAATAATTTACCTTCAATGTTTAAAATTAAAACGAATTTGAAGAAATAATTCGCTAACATTTAATGCATGTAACAATGTCCGGTGAAAGAGAAGTACCTGCAAACACACCTGCTCTTCTGTAATTAAGTTCTTGTCTCAATAAAGACCTGGAAGGAAAATTAAACACATTCGACAATGAATACCCAAGGAAATTGATTTACATTAAACTTAAGTAAATTCAAGAAAGATTTATGAAATAAACGGAATGTCTTGACAATTGCTTGTTTCAAGTATTGTAAGAAAAAGAAAATGGTGAAATAATTATACCGAGGAAGCGGCAGCGTAAAATATTGTTTTAAAAATTTTTTTTGAAAAAAACGTTCGTGAAAGAGGCTAATGCTGCTGGACTGAATTCCAGCCTCACTATAAAGAGGACTGTAAAACATATAGGGAAATGGCAGCTCTGTGTAACCCATAAACAGAACAATATGATGATGTTTTCTTCTTTCTGTTTCTTCTAACCATCAGTGAAGTATAGGCCCTCAACCACCTCACGCCAGGTCGTTCTATCCTTCGATATCACACGCAGCCTTGTCCATGTCCTCCCCATATTTTTAACCTCGTTCTCTCGTTCCCTTTTCCATCTGTTTTTGGTGTTCCTTCATTTCTATGCCGCTGTGGATTTCAGTGAAAAGACATTCTAGTTATAATGTTCTCAGGTTTTCTCAGCGTGTTTCTTATCCAACGCCAGCTACTTTTCTTCACCTCTTGGTCCCATGGAACTTGTTCAGTTCTCTCCCAAAGCTCTACATTAGTGATTCCATTTCACTATTTAATTCCCTCTATTCTACTCAGACACCATTAATGTTTTTAGTTTATTCGTAACCGTCCTAGTTGTTCTCCATTTTTCTGTTCCATACAACAGAAGTTATTTGATTTAAGAATTAAAAATTTTTGGTTTATTGTTAGTTTAAACTTCTTTTGACCTCCACAAATTTCACAGTGCTATGAAAGCTCCTCTTGCTTTTTGTATTCGTATTTTAATATCTCTATCAGTTCCCTCGCTACTTCTTTCAGCAACTTAAGGTGCAGATCAACGCGGATACCAAACAACAAATAATTTCGTAACCTAATTTTCCTAAAGTGGAATTACATATCCCTCCACATTATATAGATATTTAAGAAAGCCACAGACATTTTTAGTGAATATCCTCCGGCCAACTATCACGTGTGGTCAACGTCGAAGAAGTCGAATGCAATGTTCATTGCGAAATATAATTATACATTCAAATTATACCCCTCCCTACTATTTAGATATTTATCGAGTGCAGTTTCCTTATCCAAACTCAAATTTCTGGCTAAATTAGCTAACATCAAAACAATTATACATTTATTTAATGTATAGTTAAATATACAGATCAACTACAAGTGCTGTTTTATTGGTATTTCCTGATGGGTAATTATATTGTGTAAAATGTGTCAAGAAAATTACAACTCTTGATAATTATCGCTGTGGAGAGTTTAGTTGTACTGCCTAGTACGTGCAGGGGGTTAATTGTCATTTGTCGAAGAAATGCCCAGCCGCACTTCATGGCCCTAGAAGACATTCAAGGTACGAGAATTTTCAAATGTGTTTTAAGTCGAGAAGATGGACATCACTGCATTGGGTTTAATCCTATATGGTTGGGTCTCTCCGCCCGGCGACAAGCCATACAAGAGTGTACTATGGTAACTGAGAATGCTTATACATAGTCGCTCCACTGTTTGTCTGGCTCTGTGTCTGTGTGTATCTGTGTGTGTGTCTGTGTGTATGTCTGTGTGTCTGTGTACGTCTGTGTGTGTATGTCTGTGTGTGGGTGTGTGTGCCAGTGTGTGTCTGTGTGTGTTTTAGTGTGTGTTTCTGTCTCTGTGTGTCTGTGTGTTTCTGTGTGTGTATTAGTGTGTGTTTCAGTGTGTGTGTGGTATATTATGTTATCATAATCGACATCACTGCGCATTGGGCATTCTCATGCGTGCTCAGTCCTCCTATGCAGCAGGCACTCCAGATTACTTCTACTAATTGTTCCCATGAGAAGCTGGTTATATTGTCTTCTATCTCAGCCTCGAAGACGGCATAAACGTACTTCACCGTGCTTTACTCCCATGTCACGCAATTGTGTTAATGTCAGGGATTCCTCATTATCCACTAGCCCAATCCGTACAGCATTGACCACATATGCTCTGTCCATGCTTCTTCTCACATGCCTTAGTGCAATGCTTGGCAGTTGGTCCGCTCGCTCATTTCCCTTTAGGCCCGTATAACCAGGTGTGTAGATCCAGGTGAGAGAGGTTAAGTGCGATTTTTGAATGCTTTCTACCCATTCAATAGCGCATACCGTCTGTTGCTATCTTCTGAAGAATTTTCATGCATTCTGATATAATTACTGCCTGTGTGGCGGTTTGCTCGGATACCCATGCTAATTCTCTAGAAGTAGCAGCTGTTTCCATGGTCATGCTTGACGTGGTTGTCTGGTAGGCGCCGCTGTCCTCCGGTATTGTTTTCCCCATTCTTTGCGCTGTGTGTACCCATGCTGAACTTGATCCACGCTTCATGGATCCATGTCTGTGTGTGTTTCTATGTGTGTCTGTGTGTGTGTCTGTGTGTGTGTCTGTGTGTGTGTCTGTGTGTGTGTGTGTCTATGTGTATATGTGTGTTTGTGTGTGTCAGTGGCTGTGTGTGTCTGTGTGTGTCAGTATATATGTCTGTGTGTGTGTATTTGTTCCTGTGTCTGTGTGTGTCTGTGTGTGTCAGTATATATGTCTGTGCCTGTGTCTGTGTGTGTCTGTGTGTGTGTATTTGTTCCTGTGTCTGTGTGTGTGTATGTGTGTGTCTGTGTGTGTGTCTGTGTGTGTCTGTGTGTGTCTGTGTATGTCAGTATATCTGTCTGTGTGTGTGTGTATTTGTCTCTGTGTCTGTGTGTGTCGGTGTGTGTGTGTAAGTTTGCCTCTGTGTCTGTGAGTGTGTCTCTGTTTGTCTATGTGTGTGTGTGTGTGTGTGTGTGTGTCTCTGTCTGTGTCTCTGTGTGTCTGAGTTTGTGTCTATGTCTGTGTGTTTGTAAAGGTCTGCATGTGTCAGTGTATGTGTGTGTGTCTCCGTGTGTGCCTGTGTTTCTGTGTGCGTCTGTGTGTATCAGTGTGTGTATGTCAGCGTGTGTGTGTCTGTGTGAGTTTGTGTGTGTGTGTCTGTGTGTGTGTCTGTGTGTGTCTATCTGTCCGTTTTGTCTGATTGTGTGTTTCTGTGTGTGTCTGTTTCTGTCTATGTGTGTCTATGTGTGTGTCTATGTGTGGCTGTGAGTGTATCTGTGTGTGTCTTTCTGTGTGTGCGTATATGTAAGGCTTTGTGTGTCTGTGTGTTTCTTTTCTCTGTATTTCTGTGTGTGTGTCTGTGTGTGTCTCTGTGTTTGTAAATGTGTGTATATCCGCGTGTGTCTGTGTTTATGTCTGTGTGTGTATGTGTGTCACTGTGTGTGTATATGTGTGTATCTGTGTGCGTCTGTGTGTGCTTATGTGTGCGTCTGTGAGTTTCTGTCTCTGTGTTTGTGTGTGTGTCTGTGTGTGTCAGTGTATGTGTCTCTGTGAGTTTTTGTGTGTGTGTTTGTCTCTGTGTGTGTGTGTTGGTGTGTGCTTGTGTATCCAAGTGTTATCGTAAGCAATACGTGTCTGTGAATTAACGATGATGGTTACAGTGTCGAACCCTCGACATTCAGGTCCGCGACAAGCGTCTAGCCGCTCTGCCACGGCGACTCCCATCACTAATGTTGAGCTCAGAGAAAAGGGGCTTCTTGGTGTCGATTTATGGCCTCCGCCTAGAGTGCTGGATCTCCTAGGTTCAAGCCCAGGTAAGGGCTGGGATTTGTTTATGTGTACTTCTAGTAATTTCCCCTAGTCTCGGGTCGTAAGATAGGACCGGGTGTATTGCTCCCCACGTAAAAAATCTATTGGCAGTTGGAAATCGAAAAGAGTAGCCTAACGAAGCTGCCCGGTTATAATTTTGAGTTAAAAATCTACCCAAAGTATTTCAGGATCCTCGCAGGTGCTACGGGGTTCAGGCACTGCGCTGAGATTCTTCAGATTATTGCTTGAAATAGACGAAGCATTTATAGGTTACTACCGTTGTGCTTTGATGTTGTTCCGTTGTTTAAACCTACACCTTAGGGAGAGAACTAAAAAGTGCCAGTGGACCAACAGGTACAGAGAATACTCTGGAGTTGGGTAGAACACACGCTAAGAAAACCTGAGAACGATATAACTAGAATGTCTTTGCACTGGAACCCATACGACATAGACAAAAAGAAAGGAAATGTGAAAATGTGAAATTCATATTGAATGCTGAATTGAGAATTGAAATCACAGCTTTCGCGACATTCCTATCGTCAGAACTCGTTTGTGTTTGTTCTATTGTGAAGTTCGATGATCAACTTTTCTTTCGGTTTTATATATATCCTCATGTTCAGCTTGAAGCGAATAGTTCAAAATCCTATGGTACCAGTCTGACTGCCGTTTCGCCTTTTCCTGGTCACTCCTAGCAGCTTGGTTCCCCTCAGACCTGATGATTTGTTATGCCTGCACACTGTTCACTCGCTCTAAAATAATCATTATAACATCTAGCTTATCATAAATTAGTTCACCACCAAATGGGGCACAACCAGCCAGTCTATCAGTCACGTCTGAACAAAGCTAGAGCTGCTTTTGGAAGGATGAGGCAAATTAGGAAATCCGACAATTACTGCAGAGGAACGAAACTCCGACTCCACAAGAGCATCATTTTGACAGTTCTTCTTTATGGAGCGCAATGCTGGAGAATGACCAAAAAGGATGCACACAAGCTGTCCACCTTCCACCACACATGTCTACGTACAATTATCAAAATTTTCTGGCCAGATAAAATCTCAAACACTAAACTACTTCAAGTCACAAACCAAAAAACTTTAGACAGTATGATAACCAAGAGAAGATGGAAAGGGCTTGGCCATGTAATCAGAATGAATCCTGATATACCAGCCAAAACAGCTCTCACATTGACACCAGAGGGAAAGAGAAAACAGGGGCGCCCAAAAACAACATGGAGACGAACGATGAAAAGTGACCTGAGTGCTGCATCTTTGACATGGAAGACTTCACTGAAGATTGCACAGGACAGGAAAGCATGGAAAGTCCTCTCTGAAGCCTCATGTGCCACTAGGCATAATGAGAACTGACTGACTGACAGCCAGTCTATCCGTGAGTTCGTTTTCCAACACACTGATATAACCTGGAGATAATATCCAAAGGATTTTAACTAATTTGGACCTCTGAAGCGTCTAACATCCTCAGATGTGAAGCTATACAACAATGCAATCTTGGAGAGAAACACTGATCACCGCAACCACGACCACCTACACCACCAAACCATCACCACAACCACCACCATCATCACCCCACTGCCTACAGTTGTGTTATGTTTATCCGTTACACAGTGACGGTCATTAGATCATGACAGAATACTAGTAGAACAATTGGACACGACATATTTGTAGGTGCAGGTTTCTCTTTGCCCATGCCACAGGGGAGTGATCCCATACTTAAGTTACTTCTTCACAGTGACTCAATTGGAGAGCTAGCTTCTCCTCGTCAGCTATAGAAACAGCAAGGTATGCAAGACTTCTTGGAAGCTTAGATTTGAGTAATAGACTACTTTGCGCCCATAACAGTTTAGAAACGAGCTGCAAATTTTGAGAGTAAAATTTCCGAGTAGAACCACAAATTGCCACTGAATACTCAGTGTGGTTTAGAAGGCCTGTAAAAGATGTTTTGCTACCTGCCTCAGACGGTGACAATCTACAATTTGTGTCCAACATATGGAAGGGAAAACTAATTTACGTTGTGACAACAAGGCTCCATAGGCAGGAAAAGACCAGTAAATAAAATGTTTGACAATTTGGTATCACCGTCTTCTTCTTCATTTTTAATAATCTATACCTAGTGGTGTTGCTAGCAATGTCTGTCTGGAATGGGCCCTCTATGGACAGGAGAGACATCATGAATGCCACACGAGAGACTAAACGCTGTGAGGCTTTCAGTTTCGTGGAAAATGATTTTTCACTGAATTAGACTGCATACCCTGGGTGTACCAGTCGGGGCCGCGAGACAGGAGAACCATGGATGAGCCAATCGTCGTTACATCAACAAGAACATGAGAGTTAGCCTTAAAACACTTGAAGACACACTCAGGAGGTGATTGGGGCATTTATGGTCATATCTGATGTGCGATGAAGATGATCCCCCCCCCCCCCCCCCCCCCCCCAAAAAAAAATGAACAATGTCTATCCACTAACTTCTATCTCGTGTATTTTAAAGTTCTGAAACAGATGATACTCCAGGCTATGATGTCAAACTGTGATGAGGTGCTTTGCATGGTCTCCACGCGTACATTGTGGCAAGCAGAAAGTCTGCTACAAGTGGGCTGGTCGAGTGAGCGAGCAGAAGCCCGAGCTGGACTCGTGATCAGTTGGTTACCAGAAGTTGTAGATGACGGTTGTGTTAATAGAAGATGTAGTTCTTATGTCGTGTGAACGACCAGTGTTTGAATATGTCGCAAGCGATGAAAGTGTGAATAATCGTTGGAGCATGTTGAATAAATGCAACGGAATAAACTGATAACATGTACAAGGAAGCTGAGCAGCATTTGGGTTAACAGTCCTAGACGTTAGAGCAGTGCAAGTTATGTTGCAGTAATCATATAGAGTTGAATTGTGGCGAAGCAGATACGTTGTAAGCCAAGGTTCATCTCACAATCTATCCAGCATCTTCTGTTTTGGTCCCCCTCTGTTTGATTTCCCCGTCACGCTGTACCCCTGTCAACTTCTGCTCAGAATATGACCATAAAATGTAGATTGTCTGCTTGTGATTTAGGCAATCAGTTCCCTTCCTGTGTTATTTTCAAACGGCACTAATCGTCCTACTGTCCGTGATTCACTGCTATCTCTACAAACATACGTGACAGAGGGCGGTGGACGGACCTAAGAGCAAACCTCACAGAGAATAAGACTTTAATCTCATCGTAGCTGATGACGGATTAGAAAAAATTATAGCAGAAGGCATGGTACCAGGAAAGAGGGGTAGGGGCAGACCGACACGAAGATGGACACAGGATATAAGTGACTCCATGAGTGTGAAAGTGCATGAGGCGGGAGAACTGGCGAGAGACCGACTTTCTTTCCGGCAGACTGTGATGAGAGCGACGTTCTGCAAAGGACCTGCTACATGAGGATGTGCTGGGGGGGGGGGGGGGGGGAACCCAAAACTCTTGAAAATTGTGCTAAAAAAAACAAAATAAACATGACCATTGTAAGGGCAGAAAAACCAATCATTAAATGCACACAAAATCTATAGCTCAAGCAAGCTATAGACTGCAAGTAACTTAGGAGTGTATATTGGGAGTATATTTTCATCTGATAGAAAAAAAAAAAAAAACAACTAAAGCAGAGATAGAGCACACAGACAGACAGACAGATAGAGGGACGGACTGACGGATAGATTGGTGGATGAATGGATGGATAGACATACAGACCGATGGATAGAAAGAACAAACGAACGGACTAACGAACAAACTTTATTTTAAAAAAGTCACAAATTAAGAACGCAGGCCCGTCTTACACTGGGCCCATCCAAACACTTAACTTTTACACAGCAGTTGTATTTTATCAGTAAAGCATGTTATGTTCATGTTAGATTATGAACATTACGAATAGTGAGTCAAAATCAAAGGCCTAGTTGGTACAATGCATGTGTACGCTCGAGCGCGTACACACGCCCACGCAAACCCATTCACTAATTGATACATACACATACATTGGCACCCAATACACACATGCATACACTCACATCCACATACATACACACACACATACACACACACACACACACACATACATACATACATACATAATATATACATTTATGCATACATACACACGAACACACACACACATTCATAAACACAGTCACAGACACACTCTCACAAACACACACTCTAAGGCACACATGCAGGAAAACTAGAAACAGCAGACATACCGCTATACAGACACACACACACACACACACACACAACACCCCCACACACAAATACACACATTCACACACGCTGCCGCACACACAAAAAACACATACATTACACACACAGACACACACGCAAACACACACACACACACCTCGACACAGATAGACACACACACATAGACACACATACAAACACACACAGACACACACAGACACACAAAAGGACACACAAATAGACACACACATAGAGACATTCACAACACTCACACGGAAACACGCACACACACAGAAACACGCACACGAGGATATTATCAAGAAGACACGCACATAGACACACAAGGTACACACGAAGTCATAAACACAGCCACATACAGACACAGGCATAGACAGACACACACAGACATATATGCAGCCACACACTCTGACACACCTAAAGACACATACATAGACACACACACACAGACACACACAATCAGACAGACACACACTGACACACACAGAGACAAAAGCCCAACCACACACACACATTTACACACACACACACACAAACACACACATACAAACACACAAATAAGCACACACAGAAACACACGCAACCACACATACAGATACACATACAAACACATACACACAGACACGCACACGGACACACACACACAGACACATACACAGGAACATACTCGACACTCACACATATACAGACACGCAGTCATACACGCAGATACACATACGCACACAGATATACACACAGACATACAAACCGAAACAAACAGAGACATGCAGACATTATCAGTTAGACACACCCATAGAGTCACACATAGATACACATGAAGCCACACACACAGGCACAATCACACACAGACACACCTACAGACACTTGCAAAACACACATACACACACTGACACACATAGACACACACACATAGATACACACACACACATAAACACACACACATAAACACTCATACAAACACATACACACTGTCACACACACAGACACACACACACACACAGACACCCACATAGACACACAAGGAGACACAAACATATAGACACACACATAGAGACATACACAACAGTCACACAAAAACGCACACTGTCACACAGGCAAAAAGAAACACACAGACACATACACACAAACAGAAACACACACAGACAGATACACACAAACAGAAACACACGCACACACAAACATTATTACAAAGACACACACACAAGGTACACACGAAGCCATACACAAAGAGACACACAGAAACACACGAAGCCACACACACAGCCACAGACACACACAGGCATACACAAAGATACACACACAGATCCACACGCAGCCATACACCCTGACACACATAAAGACACATACATAAAGACACATACATAGACACACATACGTAGACACACACACACAGACAGACACAATTAGACAGACACAAATTGACACACATACAGACAAACATGCAACCACACACACAAACACACATTTACACACACAAACACACAAAAAAAAAAACACACAGACAAACAGACAGAACACACGCAGCCACGCATACAGATACACATACATACATATACACACAGACACGTGGACAGACACACCCTCAGACACGCATACAGACACACACACACACATATACACATAAAACACGCAAATAGACACACCCACTGACACACCAACACAGACACACACATGCATACGTACACAGACACACATACACACACAGATATACATAGTGTCACACACGCAAAAAAACGCAAGCAGACATTATCAAAAATACACACACACACAGACACACACACAGACACACACAGGCATAGACACAGAGACAGCCACACACCATGACACACCTACAGACATGCATAGATACGCATATAGACACACACCAACACACACACAAACACACACACCCACAGACACGCACGCGGACACCATACAGACTCACGCACATACAAACTCACAGACACACGCCTACAAACAGACACACACACACGCACACAGACACACAAATACATTAACACAAACTTATAAAATTACCCATGCATACACTCATACATACGCATAATCATATATACACAAATATGTCAACGCATGCATATATGTCACACATATAAGCACACATGCATATCATACAAACTTTATTTAATTATAAACTAGTAATGCAATATG